CCTCAGTCTCCAGACCTTACTCCAATTGAGCTTGTGCAGGATGAATTGGATTGATCGGTCAGAAAGGCGCGTCCCACGAATCAGCAGTATCTTCTTAATGCACTTAAGAAAGCTTAGAATGCAATCCCTGGAACATACCTTAGAAAACTTGTGGAACGAATGCCTCGTATATGCCTAGCTGTTGTTAAAGCCAGAGGAGGTTACTTTAAAGAAAGCAAAGTCTAAGCAACAATAACTCAAATACCTTATAATTGTAGTCAAAATGTCTTCTGATAAGTTACTCTTTACACATTAGTCATGTTTATTGTGTTGCAAAGTATATTAATGAAACTATGATCTTTTTTTGTACAATTCTGATCTTGCTTCCAAACTTTTGGCCAGTAGATTATATGTGTAACTAAAAATTCAGCTAAAAGAAAGATTGCTTGATCTAACTGCAAACCTTTCCAAAAAAATAAAAAAATAAAAAATAATGACACGGCCCAAGTCAAAAACACACAGTAGGGGAAGATCCAAAAATACCCTTCACTGTGGCTGGGTTTATAATTTTGTGGTTTGATCATTTATAAATCCAGTGTGAGATCTTGTCAGTAATGATTTGTCTGAGCACCCCCACAGTCCTGGAGCACTTCTGCAGTAAAGTCTGGACTTGGAAACATGTACTGTTGATGCCGTTATTTCATCTCTTTGCAGCAGCTTTTTAACATTTGCAGTGTGCTATCAATGTGTTGTTGATTTTTCAAATTTCAATGTTTTTTTAAAGTTACACCTTTTTTGCGGTTGCAGCACGTTTCTCTGATTGGAGAATATTGGGGCAGTCGTCTGCAGATTGTCTGCCCTTGTTGCCCATCATTGGAAGCTCTTGTAATACCACCTTTCACATACTGGGACCACAAAGTTCAACATTGGTCTAGTTTGCTGTTCAAAGGTTGTAAAGAGGAAAAATATATAATTCAGTTTGTTTCAAAACTTGCCAGAATTGTCTCACAGGAGCTTCACACTGAATGCATTTTAATAAAGAAGTGGGTTTTGTCCTGTCAGATGAATGATGGCAGTATCAGTCCCAGAGCACCTTCTGTCTGTCTGACAGACTCTGTGTTGCATCACTGTAAGGTGAAGAGGTCTGCACAAGCCAGGAGTTTGGTCCAAAGTAAAGTATTCTGGGATCAAAATGTGGCCAAAATTTACTCCAGAAGCCCTCATTTTGAAATCTGCCCTGTGGATTAAAATAAAATCTGGTAATGGTATATATAGACATAAATTTATCCATTTCAGCCTCTCAGGAAATAGAGCTTGAGCCAAATGTCGGCAGATCACTGATCATGCAGACCCAAATCTCTAGACAGTCTGCAGGTTTTAAAAAGCCATCAGTCATCCAGTCAACAAGGGGCCACGAAAATTTCTGCAGAGGCTGCTGAGGGTGAGGATTTCTCCATATTTACTTTGTATTTGCCCACAATACATTGCAAGGTGTCATACAATTACTTTATGGACATATATCATATTTAAAACACCAGATAGGTGATTAAAACAAAAGAAAAAAGTCCCTCCAGTGGGGACAGGAAAAACTGTGAATTATTGGAGTCTTGACTCCTGTCTACCTGCTTTTAGCCATGCATTCTTGCCCCCTTCAGATGTAGGTTTAAATAAGTGAGGACCTCAGAGTGCAGCTAGACGTCCGGAGGGACATGTGGATTCAGCATTAGACCCAGGACCATGACAGCATCTGTCAATGATTCATCTAAAGGATAGCTTTAACTGTTTGACAGTCCTCTAACAGGCTGAAGAGACTGTACAGTTCCATACATGAGCTGACAGGTGATCCAGCTGTGCAGCTGTCATGAACAGATTATCATGAACATGGGCCATGAGATGACTTCACACACACACACACACACGCACACACACACACGCACACACACACACACACACACACACACACACACACACACATTCAGCCAAATCACCCCCACAAGGTAGAGGTGTCATGTTGGGAGTCTTGTTGTGTTGTTGGAGCCAGAATAGAAGCAGTGATAGTATAGTAATGTCTCAAACTTTACTATACACACTATCCACACAAGTTAAGACAGCAGTGGTCAAGGTGATAGGAGTGAATGTGAGTCTTTAACAAAAATATACTGCATTCACTTCTCTTACTCATGCTTTCTTGTCTTGTAGAAGCACACACGGACAGATTTTCTGCAGGAGACTGAAGAACAAAAAAAGAATTAGAAGGTAAGAAACAGCACAATGAGAATGACCAGCTATGATGTAATGGTCCTCTGAACCTCTGCTATCTCTCTGAATGTTTTGCTGCAGACCTCTGGGCCATTAAGGTACTTGTAGCATGTTTACTCCACTTTGAAGCTCCTTCCCGTCTTTGGTGGCTCAGAGATCATTACAACCACATGTTGTACTGATCCAGTGCTTCAAAAAGTTCTTTGTTGTGTCTTGTTTCACGTTGCACCTATTATCCATCCACACAGCCAGCCATTGACAGCAGTCTGCTTCCTTTGTCTGGCTTTTAAAGGTCAAAGATGCAGGGCAGGTGGATAGAGGAAGGAGATATTTTGTGAATGAAAGCCCCCCCGGTTCTTCCTCTGCGGCACTGCACTTAAACCCTTCTAGGGACATGTTTTTGTGACCCCTTTAAATCCAGCTTCCTGTTCCTGCACGCTCAGTTTTGTTCTGTGGCTGTCACACACACACACACACACACACACACGCACGCACACACACACACGCACACACATGCACACACGCGCACGCACACACACACATACACACGCGCACGCACACACACACACGCACACACACAGACACAGACACACACACACACACGCACACACACACAATGCTTTTGGTCTTTAAATGTTTCTCTGATAGCTGCCAGATGATGGATTCAGTCAGGGGCCCCTCCTGACTGATGGTCAGACTGACTGATAGACTGATAGTCCTGTTTGCTCAGCTACATCACTGTATGTAGAGACGAGGATGGGGATGGGGCTATAACCCTCTGGTTTTCCAGATAAATACTGCACTTCCTTCACCAAGGGAGCTGCAGCATCCCCAGGCTGTCACCTGCAGCCTTGTGTGTGATGGTCCTCAGCGAAGGTGCTGAAAGTCAGAGAAAAAGCAGGCCGTGGAAGGTCAGTGAAGGGTCAGGTGGTGTGGATGTTCAAGAATGCTGGAACAAGCTGTTGAATCTGAGAGAGCTGTCAAAGAAAGCTGTTCAGTGCATTTCAAATCATTTTTAAAGGATGTTGAAAGAGATAAGCACTGATTGTCACTTGCTCACCAAACAGCTTATGGTGAAGCAGTCCACTTGCGGTGTGAAGGACGCAAGCCTGACTCTTTTAAACACTGTGGCAAAAAACATGGACTCTGCACAACCACACACTCCGATTTTATTTATGGACTTCTCCTCTGCTTTTAACACTGTGAACACTGACACTCTACTGCACTGCCTCCTGGACTTACAGATCCACCCAACCTTGATTTTATGGATAAGGGACTTCTTAACTGATAGACCACATCAAGTGTTTTTAAATGGATTTAAGTCTAGCAAAGTGGTTTTACACACAGGTCTCCCACAAGGTTGTGTCTTATCTCCCATTTTGTTCTCTGCCTACACCAATGACATCACTTGTAGCAGAGAAGGAATGAGTCTTTTAAAATATGCAGATGACATGGCCCTGGTGGCCCACATTGATAGCATGGAGGCTCTCAGCCAATACCAGCAGGTAGTGGATGACCTGGTCACAACTTTTACAAATAAATCACTGGAATTCAACATCACTAAACCAAGGAGCTGTGTTGTACGGGTAGGGACAGTGCATCAACTACATCGCAGCTTTTTAAACCTTTGATTTTACAGAGAGAGCAGGTTGAACAGGTGGAATGTTTTAAATATCTGGGGACACAGATGGACTCTCGTCTGTCATTTCAAAAACACTCTGACTCAATTAACAACACTGCACTCCAGCGTCTCCACCTCCTCAGAAAACTGAAAACCTTCAATGTCAAAAGAAAGATCCTAATCATGGTTTACCAGTCATTGATAGAATCCATTCTTACCTTTAACATCACATCCTGGTACAACCTCCTCTCAAGTAAACAAAAAAACAAAACTTTCTTCTGCAGTCACTATGGCAACATTTATTTTCTTGGACTTCCTCTATTTGGGGGGATGGAGGATGAAGTTCCTGGACAGTGACCCTGGACAGACACGTTAGGGATGCTAAGTTCGCTGCACCAGCTGATGAGGTCTCAGTTACATCATTGTTGGTTTTAAAAGGGGTGTTATGGCGCCCAAGGATCGGGGTTGATATTACAGAAAAGCTATCTCAACCTTTAAAACCCTGAAGCTGACAAGAAGTAGAGTTTAGGCAACAGCCTAGTCATCTTCAACATGACGAGAGGTAGATCCATCAGTTATCAGGCCCCTCTCCTTTAAGATCATCTACTAGTATGGGTTCAGGGGGGAAAAACACTTTTCACTTTTAGGAGATGACCAAAAACTTTCTCTTCTCATAACATAGTCACAGCCCACTCAGGCTTAAACCAGCTCTTTTTTCACTGCTACTTAAGGTAAAAACCGCTATGCCCTCGGGCTGCTCTAGGCTTTGTCTGCTGGATAGGCTTAGACTGCTTAACGCTCATACAGCCATAGGCTCCGACTGCTCTGGGCTTGGACTGCTGCTACAAACTCAGACTGCTCTGGGTTTGGATGGCTACAATAATAAAAATTTAGATAAATTTAATTATATAACACTTCAAAACAAAGTATAATAGTCCAAGACCACCGCGAAAACTAGTACCTGAGCTTTGAAGTAGTGACTGACATTTTTTCTTGAATCCTACAGGTCACAGGAATCCCGCGGGATTCCCATGAGATGGGAGTCAACTGTGGCGTGTGGTGTATTTTGTGGACCCAGAAGCAGACTCAGAGACGGACATCCGGTTAAAAGATGTAATTTTAATGTCCAAACTCAGGGAGAAAAAAGGTATGAGAGAAAGTCCGGTTGGCTGTCTGGCTGTTGTGTGGGCTGGAGACACTGTGGAGAAGAGGAAAAGGAAGTGAGAAGACATGCAAGGAATCACAAGGATCAAAAAAGTCACAAGCATTTATCCAAGGCGAAGAAGGCCAGGAGATGCGTCTGTACCACTCAGGAGTGAAGACAATACTCAGGCACTGAGACTGAGGGCTGCTGGCTTCTTAAAGGGCCTTGATTGTAGATGCAGTGCAGGTGTGGAGTCTCACTCAGCCTCAGTGACCAGGGAGGGGGAGGGTGCTCTAAAACAGAGTCAAGCCAGAGCAGGGAAACAAAGAAACAACAGGAATCCAACCAAAATAAAGCAAGAAGAGGAGGCGTCTCACCACATCAACTTTACTATTGATCTTGTGATTGGGATGGTACAAGATATAAAAAGTTAGCAGACAGGAGCAGGAGCCAACCAATAGGACACAAAAAAACATGGGACAGGCACCACCATTTTGTAGTTTTTTCCAATAAGCTTACACTGTAACGTAAGTCAAACGAACTACAACGCCAAGAATCCAACTGTGCTTCTGGCTGCTATTTCCCGCTGGTGATTCAGAGAACAGCAATGGAAGAAGCTAACAGCAGTGGGGAAATTCATGTCGTAAAATGTGACTTACAACAGAAAGTTTACAGGAAGGACTTTCAGGTAATTGTTTTCATGCACTTTTGTTTGTTGAGGACAGCTCTCTTGCTTGGAGCAGATTTTTTTTTTTTAAGCAATTTAAAGCATAAAAATATCGTCTCTATTCAAAGGAAACAGTGCTCAATAAATTAGTAAAATGAAACTCTATTACACTAAATAAAGTTTCATTATGGGAATTTCCCCTTGTGGGACTAAAAAGGGAGTACCTTATCTTATCTTAAGGTAGGCATGGTGTGACACATGCAATGTTGTTGTTTTTTTGTTTTTGTTTTTTTTGTTTGTTTGTTTGTTTGTTTGTTGTTTCTTACTGTAACTGAGCTCCAAAAGGGCTAGAAACAGGGACTTAGCTGCTGCTCATCCATAGAAAAACTATAGGATCCACAAGCCATGTATTATTTATGTTTTGTGCCCTTTAGTAAAGGCTTGTTTGAATAAAGGTGATAAATGCCTCCCAATATTAACAAGGATAAACTGTTCCTGTTGCCATATCTTTCAAAAATAAAACTGTAGAACTCAAGTTTATCTAAAAAAGAATGGGAAGAAAAATTAAACAAAATTCAATGTAATGCCTAAATCCTAAAAGAAGAAAATAACAATAATAATAATAATAAATAATGGAAGCGGTACAGGAATGGGAGTCATTCTGAATGGGAGTGTAATGGGAGTGGGAGTTATTTCACCAGGAGTGGGATGGGACAGGATTTTTTTCTGTGGGAGTGGGATGGGACAGGAGTGAAAATACACTCCTTTGTCACTCTCTACTCTGAAGTCACATAGAGCAGAAGAAAAATGATGGAAAGATGGACTACGTGTCTACTAATGATCAAATTTGGTCAAAGTAATAAGGTCATCTGAACTGACTTTGACATTTCACACCCACTTTTTTCCGACTGGCCTCCATTTTCACTTGCTCATTTTTTAGAATCCATGTTAGCTCTCCTCATCCTCGCTACGTTTCATTAACACTGCTGTTTCAGTCTATACCATTCAGGGTTTTCATATGCACAATCAGAGTTTGCAGGGTCTAAGCATAAAAGTACACATAACTGATCCTCCCATGACTGATGGCTGCGTTGTGCCCTCCTGCATAGTGATAATCATTTGAACTGTGACCATGACCTGCAGGAAGCAATTTGTTAGGCTTATAAAGCCCTGAAGAAAATGGGAGGCCCTCAGGTCAAGCGCACAAATTTTCCACCTTTCTCTGTCTGTGAGGTGAGGACCTGTGGCTGCCTCATGGAGGAAGTCTTCCTGCTTTCTCAGACTGCACCAGTGAGCTGAACACTCTGTATGGTAAACTTTTAAGCTCCTGAGCCACAAACAGCAACAGTAACCATGGTAAACAGTCCGGTTAACCCTTCACTGATCAGCGCGATCAGCATGTTGGGATCTTAACTCAGAGACTAATACAGGCAGGGGTCATTTAAAGAAACATACACAGCCCTCAAAAAGTTGCTGTCTTTTGTTGCGAGAAGTAGGACAAATTATTTACCCTCTCCGTATACTGTATCCAGGCCATTGCCTGTCAAAGTCCACTTTACAATGAGAGCTCACCACCAAACAATCTCACTGTGGATGTGTCTAAGTTCAGAGACTGCATACAGCTACAAGAATAAAGTCATTAATATATTAAAGTAAAGTCGTACAGTTACCTGTTATTTTAAAGGAGAGTTGTTAATATTAGGGCCATGAAGCATTTGCAGGAACTGTGCTTCAGTATAGGTTTCACAAACAAGGAGATACTTCATCCTTTGGCACATCAGCATTACACTGTCATAAGTATAATAACTTTAAAAAGAATATATGAGAAATGCATCTTTTCCACGGAAAAAAAAAACAAAAAAAAAAACAGGTGGACTTGGAGGAAATCGTTGCTTTTATGGAGGCAGAAATGGATAAGCTGAGGATAAATTCGTCAATGCAGCCGTAAATAGCCGTGAATGGCATTGGGCTTTAGTTTATGATATGAATTCATATGCCATAATAAGGTGTTGGTGTCTCTGCAGGTGTAGGTTACCGCTGGTGTCAGAGACGTGGTGCTCGTCGGAGCTCAACTCCCTCTGGATCACAAATGTTGATTATCAGTTGGATTGTTTCTTGAAAAACCACAAAAGCTCTTTGAATGGCCTGCTGATGCATTTACTGATAACCCTCTAGTTGAACAGCTCCAGACATTTTCCCCCTCCACAAAAGCAGCTTTATGACGTTACTTTATGACTTTATTTAAAGTCTTTAAAAGAAAAAGCATTTGATTTAAGTAAGTTAAGAGATCATGCGCTCATGCAGCCTGTGCTGACTGTCTGCTGTTTTTAGATTTCTTTTATTTTCCTTGATGAGCCGCTGCGTCTCAAAGCGAGTCTGGCCTCTCACCTGAAATGTGCAGCTGTGCAGCAGCATGCAAAAAATTCTGGGATACCAAGGCCATGAAAGCGTGCATAAATGCACAATTGAAAAAGGTGCAGGGTGGGGTGGTTTTGGGTCCGCATTTAAAGCGTGGTCAGAATCACGAGCCAAATGGGACACCGTTAGCGCCTCGTGATGACGTCATGTACACTCGAAATGCGCCATTCGACGGTGCAGTCTCTGGATTGAGACACAGCCATTGTATGTGCTTGCAACAGGAAACTCAGATTCACTCAGGATTGTGCTAGCTTTGACTGCATCGGTTATGCAGTGCATTCACCAGACAGCTAAAAACGGAAAGTTCTTTGGCCAGCGAGCCAGTTGAATGTTGGCCAATTTTGGTCCATTCCAGGAAGTCCTGAAAATTTTAAACCTTTTTATCTGCTGCCCTTTTATGACACTATTTCTTTGTGGAGGGTAAACCCTTTCAGATAACCCCAACAGAAGTCAAGATTTCATCATGGTGGCTCAGTTCCTGCCTGCTTTTGCTCTGGTCAGTATTATCTAAACCAGAACCCTTTGCATGCAGACAAGCCTGACACCGTAAGTGTACATCCTTTATAGTAGAACCTGTGTCTGCACACATGTAAGCTGTTATAATTCTATAACAACACCATCATGATGAGTTTAGGAGCAACATATGCTGATATCCAGTCAGTTGAAGGGGTCCATCAATGAAGAGTGTGTAAGAATTCAGCTCTAAAGCTTCAGCAGTCAGTGTCCTCACTTCACAAATCTGCATTCTGTAGTTTGATGCAGATTTCTCCATCCTTTCATCAGCTGTTTGCCTTAAGTCATATTTGTCTTTGGGAGATTGTGTTACTTTTTAAGTTTAGAGAGTGTGGGTGACTGTTCGCATGTGCTGTGTGGTTGATCCTCTCCTCTGAAAGAAAACGGTTTAATCATGACTCTTTGCCATGGGTGGGCTCCCTCACATTTCTAACATCTGTTTAAGGTTTGAGAAACCTTTCAACTTTCAACTTTCTCTCCAATTACAAGAATTAAAGAACACACAGTGGAGACAGAATTAGTGCAGTCCAATTTATTTTTTCAGCTTTCCTTTAAGCATCATGGGAAAACACGTTATGAATAGGCACTAGGGAAAAAAAATTAAAAAAAGATTCATTGACAAAAAGCTCAAGGGTGTAGATGTATGGCATGGCAAATGTATGGCAACAGATTGGCCTCATCATGGCACTGGAGGCAGAAAAGTTGAAGATTTTAAGTTTAACTAAAAGAGGGATAGTCCTTGATTGACCAAAATCACCTCTCAGTTACTGTCCGACCCACTTTCTAGAGCCTAAACTTTCCTTCATTCCTCAGTGGATGAAACCACTGCAGGACAGGAACCAAAACCAACTTTAAACTATGAGCCTCATTTACCATTTTAGCACAAGCTTTTTCCTAAATTTGCTTTCAGGAGAGCTCGACATCACCACTTAGATCAGGTTCAGAGCATACTTCTAAATTGCAGAGTTATTTGTACACTGATGAGTGCCAATACTGTCCTGGTTGAGTGCAGATGTGTGTCTCATGTCTCATAAATACCCACTCAGGTGTCACCAGGGGCAGACTGGGACCATAATTCAGGCCAGGAGTTTGACTCCATCCAGGCCAGGCTGATACACATTGACACGGAAATGCCGGCACTGGCATTGTTGGAAATTTGAAGCCAGATTTGGTTAATATAATGCCAATGTGAAGAATTCCACATTGGCTACATAACTGCAAATTTAATATGAAGTAAAAACAAAAATATGCCTCTGTGCAACAGCTTCACAGCAAACTTTATCTAACAAAAAAACAAAATTACAATTTTAAACTAAGAATGTAGCCTACCACATTGCTGTTGTATTATGATAAAATGTTGAAAGCCTGTCAGGAAAAGTCAAAATTCTCGAAAGGATAAAAATGAAGCAAAGCAGTAGTTCAGGCAGGACATGGAGTCAAGCTAAAGGCCACAGTCAGCTGATCTTAATTCAACCCTCAGTCAGCTGACAGCTCAGGTGATCGCCCCCTACACATCCTATTGGCTAATGTCAAAATGGCGCCCTATTTAAACTGCTTCTCCTGCCTACTCTGACTGCTGCAACCACTGTACAAGGCTGCATCCGCTCTGCAAGCTCCTACTTGTGAGAACACTCAGATCTGTGTTTTTGCTTTTTCCTAACTTGCTCTTCATCATGTTGATCCCTGCCCTCGACGAGGATCCATGGCAGATTGACTGCTTTTCTGAAACGCAACATCAGCAATTTGAAGTTGAGGAAGCCAGTCCTTACAATGACAGCTGCATTTTCTTCCGCAGGAGCTCTCGTCTGGCAAAAAGCGACCAAGAAAAGACAACACTGTTCCCGCAGCGTCACGGCAGTTCCAGCTTCAGCTACCGCATCACAGCAGCCGCCCAAAGAATGTGAGGCCCAACCCCAGCTACCAGACCCATGGACCCGGACGACAATCCCATCCTGAATGCACCATCTAGCCATCGCTCACCCATATGTCTTCAAGGATTGAAGCCTCAGAATCCGGTTCGGCACGTGCTGGGCTGTCTTCCTCCATCCCATCTGCATTCACTGCGCTGAACGATGACATCACTCTAACGACAACTGATGACAGTGTCACCATTCCGCGAAGGACCCTGGGAAGTGCAGTCCCCGTCTCCACTGGCGTCCCATTCTTCCCTCCTGTGGCTGTAATTACACCTAATCTGCAGAGCCAAATCCTCGCGGGTACTGATGTCAGTCTTATAAAAATCTTGTTGTGGTCTGACTACAACAATAGACGTATTGTGTTTAACGGAGACGTGTCTGTGATGCTTAAAGATAGTGATCCCTGGCTGTTTAAATCTTCGACCTTAGCTGATAGTGACTATCAGGAATCTTCTACTGCGATCGTTTATATCCGACGTCTTCTGCGGATATAAACGATTTCTGCCGACTTCGCAGCATGTGTTAGACGTCACCACTAGACATGGATCAATCAGGGGCTGCCTTTCCCTGTTGTCCGGGTAACAGTGGAAACACGGTCTCTGATTGGCTCGGTTATTTTCTGATCGGGTATACCCGGGCTCAATATGGGCCGAAGTCCAGACTGTGGTGGGAAGGAACATCAAGTGATTCACGCAACAGGATGGCCCAGCCAGACTAGGTATTCAGTTCCATCTGCGCTGTCTGAACCCATCCACCACCAGCCTGCTTGAAAACCCATCTATTCATCTCCTGCTCAATGGCCTAAAGAGGGAAAGGCCGCAAGACAAAGATAAACGTCTCCCCTTTACGCTCCCGCTTAAAAAAAAACTAATCACTTATTCAAGAGGTGGTTGCTTTGGTCCTTATACTGATTTTCTTTGGAACAGCATTGCTCACAGCTCTCTACGGGTTTCTCAGAGGTAGTGAATTCACTACACGCACTAATTCTTTCAATCCTACACATGACTTCACTCTTGCTGACATAGAAATTAAGCCATATTATTTCACTCTATTTCTAAGCACTCAAAAACTAATAAAGAGAAAGGAACACACTTTTTGTTTCTCAAACTAACTCTGACTTTGTCCTTTGTCCTCCATGTCCCACTACC